ATAAGGCCATTTCCAATCCATGAGGCCAAACCCAAATAATCCCAAATTATAGCCTAATTCCTCTCCCAACTCAAGAAAAGTAAGATGCCAAAATTTGGGAAAAACCAAACTTGCGGACAAATATTAGTCCATCTATTGCTGGACTAGAAAACTTTTTGGTGGAACCCACTCAAGGCTGACGTAGCCCATGTGCAAGGAAGAATCTGTGGGCCCCGCCGCTACTGCTGTGCTGTAATTGTTGTCTCTCCACGTGGCAAGCGCTAGTGATGTTGCTGTTGGAATCCATGCAACGGTCAAAATAATATTTTAAATGTGCAATAATTTTTCCTCAGTTTTCATGGGTGAATTAATGGCATGGGTTTCTCACGCGCATATGAATCAAGAGAGAAAATGAGGGAGAAAAATAATGGATTAACCAATTAAGGAAATCCATGGAGGAGATAGAGACTATGTTGACTTCTCTCATGCCTCTCAACATCTAGAGATATTATTCACCTTTACTTCAGTATGCTTTGAGGGTATTGGTTTTCTTAAAGCATATTTCTTTGTCTTTTTTTTTTTTGGGGACTGCCAATACATATTTATTTTACTATAAAAAAAATGTTATGGTAGTAGTACCGAAATTGCCTAATGGATATATCTAAGATGTCATGCAATCGGAGAAAAAAAGAAAAAAGAAAAAAAAAACAGAAAGAGAAAGAGAAGTCAAAACAAAACATTTATTCATGAATGGAAAGCTAGAACACAACTTAGAGCAACCCTTGATCAAGTTGTAATATGCACATCAAATTTTCTTGTTCCAGGGATGACATTGATCAAAGCTCTCAGAGGTATAATTGTACATACATGGACCTCCAGTTTTGACGATCCACGTACAAAACTTGCAATCATCCCTGTTGTGTTTGAAAATGTCGAACCATTGAATTTGTTTTGGCCACACAAAGCTGCAGTAGAATTGTGTACTTCCCCAAAAGTTGGGCCTAAACTGAAACTGAAAGCTTGCATTGCTCTGAAGTTGACGAGCACCGAGATCATCGTCTTTGGATTTACAATGAACGCTAACATCTGCTGGTGGTTCCAAACCATTGATAATTTTAACATGCGTTATACCCCAAAATTTACCCTCACACATGGTAATGAATGCAAAAATCAGTAACAAAATGATCAATTTGTCCATCTTTGTATGTATTTTGTATGTTGAGACACATTGGTTATGTGGGATGCCCAACAATTTATAGGCCAAGACTGCTTTGGAGAGATTCACACATAGAATAGAAGTATCTAGCTAATACATATTAGAATATGCCCCATCAACAATAAATACCATGAATATTGTCCAGTATATGATATTCATGTATGGGTGTCACATCATGCCAACGTTATTTTTGGTAAGAAATATATTGCCACATTCATCCTTTTTCTTTAATAGGTTATCTGTAATTGCAAATACTTTTTTTCCCCTTCAAATACAAGTAATATATTAGGGAGTGAGGAATCAAACACATGACCTCGAGTGCAAAAATAAATTAACTACCCGATCTATCCCTTACAATTTAGTAAGGAATATATTAACAAATTTTACTCTGTCTAGGTTATTTTTCTTTTTTAGCAAATGCTCTATATTGTTTTTGCAGAATACCATACATGTTGTCTAATATATGAGGGGTGCCAAAAAAAATTGTATATTCTATATAAACAAGGTAAAACGGTAATTTTATGCTCATCTTAAAAGGTAAAAAAAACATTAGCTCATGGACTCAGACCAAAGGGAGCATTACTTCATGGATGGACAACTAGAAACACAACTTAGAGCACCATTTGAGCCATCAACCATATATGCCCACCAAAATTTTCTTGTTCCACTTAAAGCATGGATCATACTTACATGGACAATCAGGGGTGACCAGGCCAGCCAGCCACGTACATAACTTGCACTCATCCCTCCTGTGTTTAAATATCAAACCATTCAATCCGGGATGGCCATACCAAGCAGAAGTTAGTGAACGGCACGGCCTTTGAATTTACAATGAACTATAACATCCGACATTTGTAGGTGTGAGATGCCTAGAAATTTATAGGGCAAAGTGCTCTGTCTGGAGAGATTTGCTTGCATGCATCTAATACAAATTAAATAGAAATATGCCCCATCAATAATAAATACCGTGAATGCTGTCCAAAAATATATTGCAACATTCATCCTTTTCCTTTCTTAATTATGTTATATATTTCTGTTCATTTCCAATTTTATAACTTCATAGGTTTGACCTTCATTCCATTTCCATCCTCATAATCCTAATTGTCTCAATCAAATCTCCGTAATTTAATATTTGTTTCAATTGGTAAAGTTACTTGCAAATTGTATATTCCGTTACTTTTTTTTTTTTTGGTGAATAAACAGGCTAACGCCCAACAAAGAAATGAAATAATGGCTCGAGGCCTACAGACTCCAAGTAAATCCTTACTAAGAAATGACCTAATACTGTCAGGAGGGTCATGGAAAGTTGACATAATTACTTGGTTACTTGTATATTCCGTTACTTGGTTATGCCAAAGTAGCACTTCGTGTTTTGATATGTTTCATCAATAATTACTATTGCTTTTTCTATAAAAAAAGAAAAAAGAAAAAAAAGGAGAGACTAATAAAGGGATTAACCATTCAAGGAAATCCATGAAGGAGATATAGTTGTCAACAAGTGCATTGTATGGAGACTATGTTGACTTTTCACATGCCTCAAGCATACATTATGGGGAAAAAAATTCTAAGATTACCATTTATGTTATAACATGTGAATTAATATGATCGAGTATTAAAAAAAATAACAAATGCAATAAAAAAAGGAAAAAAAATATCAATACATTGAAAAACATGAATTGCAAATTTTTATTATTTCATAATAAAATCTAAGCAAACAGCTTTGTGTGAATCTGCATTTGATAGCATTGCGGTTAAGATCAACCACGTACATCATCCACAATAACATGATAAGATAGCTCCATGGAATGGAAGTTTAAATTTTTTCCCAAACGTTATGTGCGTTTCTTCTCGTCGTTCCATTTCTTATGATCATAAACTTTGGTAATTTTGTTGTACAAGCTTGGACCGTCATTGCTGATAATCCATTTACAGTCCCTGCAATTAAATGTCTCTTCTATGAAAACGTCAAGCCAATGAAACTGGTTAGGCCATTGAAAGCTGCACCAGAACTGTGTGCCCCCGAAAAAGTTTATCTTGAAATCCCACCTGTAGAATTCTTGATGGTGAAGTACATGAACTCCTAGATCGTCGTCCGCGGACTTGCAATGAATGGTCAGATCTGTGGTATTTGGGTCCAGATTGTTAGTGATTTGAACATGTGTAGAACGCCATGCAGCCTCACAATTAGCAGTGAGCAAAAACATGAACAGCAGCAACAATGGATTCATATTTCTTTTGTCAATGAGGAAGACGGATTCGAACTTGGGAACGTAACAAGACTTGCTTATCAATTTATACTGTGGGACTGTGAGATGATAAGACCGTTACATCACTGCCAACTCATTTGTAATTTTTTTTTTTGTTTCTAGGTTAGTTTTACTATATATAATAGGGAGCTTTAGTTTTAAAACATAATTTTTAAGATATGAATACAATTTCATCTAATTAGCATAAGGCCAAACACCAAAATGTAGTACCTAATCTTACAAAAATAACATTAAAAAATATTAAAATTACACACAATGCCACTCCTTCTAAGGCAAACATACTATGCCACATGTCCACATCTAGCCAACCACCACTGCCGGCCACCACCACTGGACTCCCACCACTGTCTGTAGGGGACCAACTCTGTTGCCCTTTATTCACCTTAAAAAAAAAAAAAAAAAAAAAAAAGATTTTGTGTCATTGAAGGAACTCAAACCTTAACCCTCAAAGGAGGAAAGCTCACTCACAAACCACTACACCAAACTTGATTTTGTAAAATTTATTTAGTTATACAATATTTATATAAACAATCAACGGTTTTTTTAAATAAATAAAAAAATCATTTCAACACTTATTCACACAAAAACTACAAATAAAAACAGAAACTGCAACAAAAATACAATGTAATCAATTATGTTTAAAAAACAAAACAAAAACGAAACAAGCTACAAAAACAAAAATTAATTTTATTGAAGCAAAATGGAGGAACCAAGATGAAAGTACTAAAATGGAAACTGCGATGCAGAAACGAAAATTGTAATGTAGAAGCGGAAACTGCAATGCATAAACGGAAACTGCAATACAAAAATGGAAACTGCAATGCTGAGTTTGGGCAAAAATGCTCAGCTCTAGAGTTAAACAAAACAAAACTATATTTATTTATTTATTTATTCAATACATGTTGGTAAAATACTTTGTTTCTGGCAATGCAGTTTCCAAAAGTATAATTTTGAGTTCCCTTGCTCTTGGGTAGTTTTACTCTTCTCTTGCCCACCCAATTCCTCATCTGGGTAGCCTCTACTCTTCAAATTGGTGAAGTTGAAGGCCAAGAAAAGAACAAAAATTAAATTGTAATTAAATGAAAACTGCAATGCAGTTTCCAAAACTGCAATTTTGAGTTCCCTTGCTCTTCGGTAGTTCTACTCTTCTCTTACCTACCCAATTCCTCATCTGGGTAGCCTCTAATTTTCTCTCTTCCTCTTTCACTTAGATACTTAGTGTACCTAGTAAGCAACGTTCTCAGTCTCATTCTCTCCTCTTTTGCCTTTTCCAAAATTGTTGTAGGTTTTCTTACTTCATGTAATCTTGTGATGATACTGTACGCCTAGAGCAAGTATTGCCAAACTTTGATAACAATGTAAAAGGAGAAAGTGAGACTGCAGTTGCATCGAACTTCATTCAAAGAAGCAATGCATGACCCCAAAATAATGTGGATCTAACTAACATGAAATATAGAATATGTACACCTGATCTTTTGAGTTGATTGGGGTCATGCAATCAATTCTTTTCTTGAAAAATGTGTTACGCGATTTTGAAGGTCTTGTGTTTCGAACATTGGGAAAGAACCCCTTTTCACTCTTGGAGTTGGGACAGTAAATGAAGATTTTTCAGGGCGTAGATACTAGACTGGAGCTTTCTTGATTGGATACTGTCTTTGTCTACATTGTTATTCTTAGTGTAATATATATCATATTAATCCTTGGTTGCAGAGCATGCCCACAGTCAGTGGAGGACCTGTGCAGGTCCAAGGAGGTGCACCTACACCTCCAGTCGCCGGAAAAGTCCATTACCACAGCTGGAATTGCACATCTGCTTCAGAAATGAGATGCACAGAACCTGTTCGACGAAATGCCCAAACCACCTGGGCTGGGAGAGTTGCATCGCTGTGCGCTTGTTTGTTTGTTTTTTTTTTTTAACACAGACTGGCCAAAACGACGTCGTTTTGAACCAAGGTTTTTTTTAATAAAAAAGCCGTAAAAATATAAGGAAACTGCTGTGCTGCTGGGCCTTTCCATTGGGCTTTTTAATTTATATTATTCCTTACTTAATTGGGATTGGAATTCTCTAGACACGCTATTCAAGGTATAATTAATTTTTATGTGTTTATTTAATTGATAATTTGATATTGATTTGTTTATTTAATTGATAAATTATAGTCAATTAGTCATAGTAATATATATAAAACCCTTATTTTGTTTTAATTGTACAGTAATGGAACAGTACTTTCAAAGAAAGAGTTTAAATCCTCCTTCAAATAATCCGAGTAGTTCAAATCCTCCCTCAAATAATCCAACTAGTTCCAACTCTCCTTCAAATAATCTAGCTAGTTCATATCAACCTTCAAATAATCTGCCTACTTCACATCCTCCCTTGAATAATTCGGGTAATCCAAAACGATCGCAAGTCACAATAATTGAAGGTTAATTATATTAGTAATGCAAATATAATGCGACGTTTTCATGACATGAAACCTCGTCGGCAACAATTGTAGGTTAATTGTAATGTTATTATTTTAATTAATTATGAATAACATTAGTATTGTTTAAATTATAAGGATGTTTAGTTATCCTTTTTTAAAAAAAAATTTAATTTAATTTAATTTAATTTGGTTTTAAGCTCTTAGCTTTTAAAAATTGCACCTCCGCTGAAAAATTCATGGGTCCGTCGCTGCCCATAGTATAGCCATTCATTTTTCATATCCTAAGAGCATCTCCAACTGATGTGTCAAAAGTGTCATAAAGATATTTAACGACTAGAAATAATATCTCACATTACTCCAACCGATATGTCAAAATTGATGTGGAATGAAGGCTGGAGGTTGAGATGTCATTTTTGACATCCCAAAAGCAAGATGACAAATGAATATTTTATTATTTTTGAAAGATAGTTGGCTGTTACTTTCATTTATTATTTTACTCTTTTTATTTTTTTCTTCTTTATCTTAAATGATTTGACTGTTACAATAATTCTTTATTTGACATATCGGGCGGAGTGTAAAACTGTGTAAATGTCAAATTGCCATATCAGCCATCAAATTTAAATTTGATGTTTGGTATTTGAAATCTCCATTGGATATGCTCTAAGCCTAATGTTTTAGCCTTTATTGGGTCAAAAGTCTCAAAGAATCAGATTGAAGGGTTGGTAATCTCCAATTTTCAGCATGCTGTTCTTGTCCATATTTCTCTTGCACAAGTTGATTTCATTTCATTCTACTGCTGCAACTCACATTTTAACTCCATCCGAACATATCTTGCAAAATGAAACTTTAACCTCTCTACCAACCAAAATTTTGAATTGGGCTTCTTTAGTCCTGGTAATTCAGGCAAACAATACATTGGAATATGGTATAAGAATAACTACATACATATAGAACAGTCGAATCGTATAGGTGGCCAACAGAGAGAGGCCACTTGCCAATACAGACCCCTTTTTGAGTCTAAGAAAGGGCATTGATGGAAATTTGAGGCTTGTGGATGGAAAACAGAACACTGTCTGGTCAACCAGTGTCACCACCTCATTGAATAATTTGGAAGCAGTGCTTCTAGACACCGGAAACTTCATTTTGAGAGATCATATATCTGGAGGAATCTTTTGGGAAAGCTTTGATTATCCCTGTGATACTTTCTTACCTGAAATGATGCTAGGATTGAACACCAAAACTGGAGAGAGACGCTTCTTGGATTCGTGGAAATCTGCAAATGATCCATCATCCGGAACATTTGTAATTGGAGTTACTGCTGAGTTGCCACACAAGTTTTTCTTTGGAATGGGTCAAATCCATACTGGAGAAGTGGCCAATGAAATGGATTGAAGTTCATAGGGGTACCAGAAATAGGTGCATTGTACTCTAAATGGATTTAATCTCATGCAAGATAATCAACAGGGGATGAATATCTTACTTTCAAAGTGTACGTACAGATACAATTCATGTAATATATACCGCAATGCAGTTGCTATAGATAAAGGATTATACTTAAAAGCAACAAATGTTCGCTTTCATGCATGTGCAATGTCAAGAACACTAGCTAGTTTCCTTTCCTGCCTTATGCACCAAACTTCTACTTGCTTGTTATACAGAGAATAGAGGACAGCATAGTTAGTCTTCAATGAACCTTCCTTGAGCACCAAAAAAGCTGAAAGGACACGCATCATTTTAAATAGTCCGCTTAAATTACAGATGAGGTAGGTGGTAATTACTGTGAACGTAGCCAAAATATGGGGCATCTAATATTTAAGTATTTTTAGCCAAACCTTATACTCAAGCGTACACCACAATTATTGGCATTGCTAAATCATACTAAACAATTCGACAACCAATATGTAACGTCAACAGTACACAAGGAAGGACATATCAATATTTTTCTGAATCCATTAATTTTTTCTTGCAAAATTAACATATTTATTTTCTCCCAGCTAAAATACGATAACTGACACCCATAACGCATCAATTTAGCATCCTGTATATGCAAACTTGCATATAACTGCATAAACCAGATACAAGAGTATATCACGTATTCTGGTAGCCTAAACCAGCCAGCCTTAAGTCAAGCATACAAAAAACTTAGTAGCATAGTTAACTACATCTCAACTATACCCACTAGGAATAGTCACTTGCAAATAGTGAGTATATCATTTTACCCCCTAGGGGGTGTTAGTGGAAATAACTCTTGAATAAATAATAGAAGAAACGGAATATAATGCGCAGCATAACCTTACAGAATATAGTGTGCAACATAACCTTTCTTTGCTTTTCCAAAAAGAAACGGGTACGACATTACATTTCAGATCACCTAAGCATAATATAAGACTCTTGGTTTAAGATTTTAAAGATTTTGAGACTAACATACAATCATCACTATGAGATACAAGCCGTGTGCGCTCTGTGCATGAAAAATCAAACACTCCAAGCACGTTTTTCATGTTCTTCATATTCCATGACACTCTGTCGGAAAGTTTTAAGCATGAGCAACAAAAATTGAAGGTTGAGGGAATAAGTGCACAGATTCAAATCACACACCAAAAATCAGAATGTGTAAGGAACATCACATACTTTCCGAGTATTTACATCCCAAACCTGTTACTATTCCCCCATAATCAGTACTAGCTATATGGTTTTTCGTAAACTTGTTCCAGTTCAAGCAACTAAGCTTTGAACTTGTAGGCTTTCCCGTGGCGCCTGATAAAAATTCCTTTACAATTAGAAGTTTTGGTGCATATATGTTATTTTTATTGTTTTGTTGTTAAAATAGCAGGAATTGTTTCATTGATAAAGATGGAAAACCTTCTGAGATGTCCGGTTGATACTCTTAGTTCAATGCTAATGAGTGCGAAAGAATGGCTGGAGCTGTTCCGTTGATAAACATGGGAATGGTACATATGTGCTTTCTTTGCGATCTACAACAGCAAATTTATCTTTACCAAGAGAATCAATTTTCTGTCATTATATTGATTTTATTTATTACATGGTGGATAGTTTGCTTGTCTAGCTAACAGGTTACTATTTGATTGATACTTTACTTGACTAGCTACCAGGGAACTGTTAGATTGGATTGGAGTTGAGTCCAAGTTTGTATGTAGCTCACCAAACAACGGCTAGGACTCTTGTCCATTTTAATAGAAGTCCAGTCCAGTCCAGTCCAGTGAGACTACTAGAAGATACACCCTAGAGAAGACAAGAATTCAATATTTTTATGACCAAGAGCAAAGAATCTGAAAAGACTTTCTCGCACTGGAATAATCTTTGTATATATGCTTTGTGCAGTTCCTCACAAGTCATCTTGATCCTTCTATTCTCACACTTAGAGATGCTTACATATAGCGGCCACTAAAATATCAATAAACATTACTTGATAGACATGGATCCTTCCTTGTATGAGGCAGCAAGATCAGGTGACGTTGGTTTCTTGAGAAAAAATAAAGATGCTGACGTACCAGATGATCTTCTCCATCAGAAAACGCCTGTGTACAATAATATACTTCACATTGCCGCTGAGTTCAAGCACATAGACTTCTTTATCTTCACCATGATTCCTGTTTGAAGGTAATACATGGAGATTTGAAGGTCAGTAACATTCTCTTGGATGAGAACATGAACCCAAAAATTTCAGATTTTGGATTGGCATGTATCGTTCAAGGCACGCAGAGTCTCACAAGGTTGTGGGAACAATGTAAGCATCATCTCTTTCTTTTCCAGTTCTCAGAAATCTTCTTTAAAAGTTAAATCCTTGGACACACTGTCACTCATATTGTTAATATTAATGAATAAATGGTCTAGGCGGGCTAGGCGGGGGCTAGGCGGTCTAGGTGGGACCTACGCAGTCTAGGCGGGGGCTAGGCTGTCTAGGTTCGATCTAGGCGGGCGCTAGGCGGTCTAGGTTGGAGCTATGCAGTCTAGGCGGGTGCTAGGCGGGTGCTGCGCCTAGAAAAAAAAATTCGCCATTTCGGAATCTCCAAGGTCAGGGACGTGATCACGATATTGCTATGAGCGAGAGACAGAGAGATGAGGATTGAAGAAGAAGTCTGAGTGAAGAAGGAGTCTGAGGGAGAGAGAGGGGCTGGAAGACGGCTCTTGTTAGAGTTAGGGTTTGAAAAGGAAAATTGCATTTATATGTTGATGAAAAAAAACAAAAGAAGAGATGGGCCCCCGATTACTCCTCTAGGCGTTAGACCTGTGCGTGCAGCCCGCCTACGGCCTAGTTTCGGACATTGGGATTGACATGTTGGTAAATCAAGTTGTACCAGCACTTCAATGTACAACCCTGCAATTTTAACCGACTCCTCTTCCCTTCTGTTTTTGTTTATATTTAACTGAAATTTAGTTTTCAACATTGGTCTGTTTGCCGTTACAGGCCCCTTTTTGAGTCTAAGAACGGGCATTGATGGAAAGGGTCGTATGTTTGTTTCTCTCTTGTGTTGAAAACGGTAATGCCTGTGATCCTCTGAACTCCAAGTTGAGTAGCAATGAGGTTCTGCATTAGCAAGGAGCCAAGCAATTACTCGCACAGATGAAAATACCAGGGCAAATTCTTTTAAACTAATAATCTCAATGCTGCAATTGGAGATGATCACTTCAACAAAAATGTTTAAACCGAGTCCATAATATGCTGTTGTAATTATATTCTCCTCAACCCTTGGCAAAACCTGTGCATGGATTTTAAATTCATAAATCAATTAGATAAGCAATTGAGATGCTAACATTATGAATTTAATTAGAAATGAGTTCAAATGTGTAATTCATGGTTTCTAACTTTTTCTGTCATCAATTAAACTTATATAATCCATGTGAGCTGATCTCAAAGTTCACAGAGCTTACGAGGTCTGTCAGAAGAAGAAGAAGAACATTGAGGCCAATTAAAGCAATAGAGAAATGAAACAAAACCGCCCAAATGAATAAGCCCAATAAGAAATGCTTACTTGAGATTAGATTTTTTCATTACATTTATTCTGTGACTAGTTCTATGAACTAAAGACTGACAAATAAAGGAGGTTAAAATACGGGTAATTTAAAATATTGACAATCAAGATGCAGTAATAAGAGATATACAAACAAAACATTCAGAAGAAGTAAAATATTTTAGCGAGGATACTTACGCATGCAACAGAGCAGGAGGAGTCCAAGGAAGAGATGGAACGAAAAGGAAACGAGGAAGGAGGACAGAGGGATTGGATTGGATTCAGAAAACCAAAATCCCAAACGAAATCAGAAAATCAAAACTAGAAATTAATGCCCTGCTTATTAAAGATGCGTGCATCGGGGTCTTTTAGTTTTTAATGATAATTTATTATTTAATCAAGACTGAAATGGAAACAATAATATTGATTAATATGGTTGCTTATTCAATCAAGTCAAACCGCCTATATAACATGTAAGCAAGAAACGCCCTTCTTTCTTTCTTTTACAATTCATCCTACACCTAACCGCGTGCCAGTCGTTTTTCTCTCACAACCGCAAAGCCAAACACCAAGCTCTACACAGCCACGGACCACGTCTGCGGAAAGGACCTTTTCTCGCCAGCTATGGCCCCTCTCAACTTACATTGAATATATTAAATTTTTTTGTCTTTCTCCACTCAATCATATTGTTCTATTGTATATCCTCCCTTTTGTGCTAGTGCTCCTCTATGCTTGTTTGGGGGTGGTGGAAACCCACCTAATCCGTGCACGGGATGTTGGTTTGGCACGAGGAGAATACGGTCGGGCTGAACAGCTCTCTAAAATCGCAGCTGGGTTTTGTTCGAAAAAGGGGCTGGAAACTGAGGTTGCGGCCAAGGTTTTTTCGCTGGGCATGACCCGAAAAAGTTGGGCATACAAGATGCGGCCTCACAGCTCGAATGGAGTTGGAAATAGCGGCCAGGTGTGATAAATATGCGGCCGGGTGTGATAAATATGAGGCCGGGTGTTATGAATATGCGGCCGGGCACGATTTGGTGTGACCGGAGAAAAAGAATTGCGGCTGGGCTGGTGCAAATGGATTGTTCTGTTATGCACGGCCAGAAATGGATTGTTCT